ATAAGATATGATATGATACGATACGATACGATACGATACGATACGATACGATACGGGACGATTCAATCCTGAATTGATAGTCCCATCAATAACCGTATTATACCTACCTTGTCTTCCCCCTTATCTGTGTACATCCCACCGTGGCACACATTTACGAATACGACTCATACGAGGTTTCTTTCGTGCAAGACTCATGTTCAAGCGAAGACCTGATGTGTATTGGGCATCTGCAGTGATACCAATACAGCAGCAAATAAATCATCACCATGTCAATCACTATATGCAATCATTGATGAAAAGAAAGTCATCGTCATAATTTCAAGGAATTATAATGTTATGAAGTTCGAAATTCATTTTTATTATTTCTTGTATAAAGCAAAGATCCATTGTATTCGAACGACTATAGTATATGTACCTGAGAATTGAATTTGAATTATCGTGACATGAGCAATATGAGCAAGTTTGTTCCACTTCCAAAAAGATCCGGTCAACCCATAGCTAAATGAACAGGAAGAAAATAGGAATGATGTCAACCATGTCCGTGAAAACTGTTGTGTCCTTTACTCCGGCACCCCCTTTCTAGATATCCCATCTAGGAACCAGTTGTCTTGTTTGAGAAGAAATGTTCGAAATCTTGAAATTTACAACAATATTAAGGCTGCGATACCAGCGACGGCCATAGCACCGAAACCGGTATCAACCTTCATGGCAGCACCAGTGAATTGAGCTGGGCCAGTTTTGGTGCCACTAGCGATGGAGGTGGTTGCGGAGGCCAAAGTGGTGGATGCAGCCGCTGGGCTAGTGGCAACTGGAACAGCACTTGGGACGCTGGCAACGGGAGCACTTTCAGCTTTAGCACTGGCGACTGGAATACTAGCATCTGGGATGCTGGCAGTCGGACCACTGGCGACTGAAACACTGACAACTGGGATGCTGGCAATTGGGGCGCTGGCAACTGGACCACTGGCAACTGGAACACTTTCAACTTGAGCACTGGTGGCTGGAATACCGGCGGTTGGGATACTGGCGACTGGAATACTGGCAACTGGGATGCTAGCGACTGGAGCACTGGCAACTGGAACGCTAGCAGCTGGGACGCTAGCAACTGGGATGCTGGCATTTAGAACACTGGAGACTGAAACACTGGCAGCTGGGTTACTGGCAATTGGGGCGCTGGCAACTGGGAAAGTGGCGACCGGAACAGTGGCAGCTGGAGTAGAAACTCCGGGAACTGTTTGGTAGACTGGAGTATCTACAGAAATAACAGGTCCAGAAGAACCTGATGCAGAGGGAACTGGTGTATTGTATGCGGGAGTACCAACAGAAACAGTCACAACTGGGATGGTGACAGTACCAGGAGCAGTAATTGTATGGGGAACAGAGCTAACGGTGATTGTGGTTGGTGCCGGGCAGTAAGTTGTCAAGTATGACAGGGTGATGGTGCTTGGAGTTGGCTGAACAACAACAGGCGAGGATGGAACTGATGTATTATATACAGGAGTACCCACCGAGACCGTGACAACTGGAATAGTGACGGTACCAGGAGCAGTGATTGTATGGGGAACAGAGCTAACGGTAATTGTGGTTGGCGCCGGGCAGTAAGTTGTCAAGTATGACAGGGTGATGGTGCTCGGAGTTGGCTGAACAGCAACAGGCGAGGATGGAACTGATGTATTATATACAGGAGTACCCACCGAGACCGTGACAACTGGAATAATGACGGTACCAGGAGCAGTGATTGTATGGGGAACCGAGCTAACGGTGATTGTGGTTGGTGCCGGGCAGTAAGTTGTCAAGTATGACAGGGTGATGGTACTTGGAGTAGGTTGAACAACTGGGGCCGTGTAAGAAGGAACACTTGAGGTGTAGCTGACTGTGCATGGGCTATTGAGAACAGGATTAGCTTGGTTTGATTGTTTTAAATGGAGCATAGGGAACATACCACTTTGTGACGGTCAAATTTGTGGCCGATGAGACAGTATAGGTGTGGTTACCAATGGCAACGGTAGTGGGGGATGGGCAGTAAGTGGTATAGCTGCTGACAACAGTGGTGGTCCAGACGACTGGGGTAGTCTTTGGTGGGGTTGGAGCAGTAGGAGAAGACCATGTGGAATTAGGGTAAGAAGGAATAATCGCTGTGGTCTTTGGTGTCGAGGTAGATTTGATACTGCTCTGGCTGGATGATGAGGCAGTCTTTGATGAGACTGGAGCAGTAGGGACAGGGATTGTGGAATTAGCGTAAGAAGGAACAGCAATTGTAGTCTTTGGCGTAGAGGTAGAATTGATACTGCTCTGACTGTATGATGGGGTAATTGGGATTGAGCTGCTGGATGGATGTGGCTTGCTAACAGTGCAAGGACAATCGGTGATGGTCAAAGTAGTCGACTTAGTAATTGTATATGTCTTGGATCCAATAGTCAATGTAGTTGGGGTAGGGCAGACAGTTGTAAGAATGTCGGTGGTGTAGGTGGTCCATGTTGTGTGCCCGGTCCCGGTTGGCTTGACAGGCTTTGAAGTTGGTCCAGTTCCGAGAGGGACAGACGCGTTGCTTTTGATAACCGAGGAGACACTGCTGGAAACACTCCAGGATGAAGTTGGAACCGAGTTGCTTGGCTTACTTGACCAGGAAGCTGAAGCAGATGGAACCGAGTTGCTTGGCTTGCTCGAGGAGGATGCTGAAATTGTTGGAAGAGTCTTACCGATGGTGGTAGAGTATGTACAAGGGCTAAATTTGAAATATTAGTACGTTGAAAGCGACTTTTTCAGATTGATGAGTCAGAAAACTTACCAGTCAGTGATGGTCAAGGTAGTAGAATCAGTGATAGTATAGGTCTTGGATCCCATGGAGAACATTGTGGGAGATGGGCAGACGGTAGTATAGATATCAGTAGTGATAGTCTGGAAGAGATAAAAGAGTCAGCAAATGATATCAATCAATATTGAATCAATATTATGAAGACTGAAATAATGGAAACTGACCGTATACGCGATACCAGTATCATTGGAATACTTTTGACCGTTGACTACGGCAAGCAGCCCGAAGGCTGTGATGAGTGATCCGAAAGTCTTCATAATTCCTTATTGAATTGCTGTGATTGTATGATGATTTCAATATGCGAGTGGGATGATATTAAGATATTATGTTGATGTTGATGGGATGGGATGAGAGGGGATGGGATGATTGACAGATGAGATTGATGTGAAGAAACCTGAACGAATGTGGTTGTTGTGATTCTTATGTGAGGGAGAGGAAGAAAGAAAAGTGTTTGAGATGGGAATGTTTTTAAATACTCGTTGATGTCGTATGTAGGTAGATACCTAGGCAAGTACAAGTTACATGCACTAGTAGCTTATGTCATAGGTAATTTATCTAAGCACTAGGAAAAGTAGGTACGAAGGAAATTATTAGAGTGATGGAGTTTGTGAATGAGGAAAGAACGACCGGACTGTCTGCTTTGCCGTCGCGCTTGTCCGAATTTGCTCATCATACCCCCAACCTCCAAAATAGACGATTCAATCGATGTTCGAGTATATATCAACCATCTAACCCAGTACTATTACACTACTACGCTGTACTATCCTGAGAATTATCACTCAGAATGTTCGGATTCTTCACTATCAAACTCTTTTCAGACTGACTTGAAGACTTCACCTCACCACTTGGCAAGCATGAAATCATGCATGACATCTTGGAATAAGTTTTTTATTTTAAGTTTTGATCTACCTAGGTACTCAAGTAAACATTACGAGCCTCCCCAAATGAAGAAGTTACTACCGCATGTGCGATTGATAGTCAGGCTTGGCGTATGTACCAGACCAGTAGACTTGGGTCAGAAACGAGAACAGAATGAGAATGATAACGATACTTAGTGGGAAACTTTTGCTCATTCATTCCAATGAGGAAATAGAGAACTACCAACGTGCTCGTTAAGAGATCAATTGGCACTTAATATTGATACGAGTGTGGCTTGATCATTATTCATTCGATATCCCAGATAAGAAAGACTCCAGCCTCCAGGTCATGAATACGATGCAATAGTTTGATAAGATGGTGTGGAAAGAGGAGAATGGAAAGAGAGAAAGTTGCCTTCACCGAATATTCACCCATACTTTCCACTTTCCCCGGCTCTAACGTCAATTTTCCCACACTCGACAACCCACTTATCTATTTTCGTCCCAAGTATTCAGTCTAACACGAGAGCTCTGGACTTTCAAGTCTCTTCAGAGACCAAGAAACTAACAGTGAACAACTTCCCAGATTAGAGGTTTTTCCCGAAGGTTTCTTCCTTTCCATTCGTTGATGACCTGGTCCCTAAGAATCTATTTCTCGTACTTTCTCCGTTCTCCTAACCAATCAACCAACCATCAAGAAACTGTTTACTCACTGGCTTCGCACAAGTACTTGACTCCATTCAAGCGTCATCTTGGGTGATATGGCGAGCACTGCTTTTGATAGAGATAGCGTGGGCCTAACGCGGGTGTATACACCTTTAATGCTGTCAAACTTTGTCTTAGGCATGACTAGAGAAAGTTTATTCTCAATTCGCTTCTTCTTACTAGACTCCAAGCTTTGATTCCTGTGCAGATCAAATATATGCATAAAAGGAAGCTACTCACGATAAAGAGCGATGACGGTATCTGGATTGTATTCGATCATTATCAATAAAGGGAAGGGAAGGGAAGCAGTTTGAAAAATTTGTCATATCGTCATCCGCTGTTGACAACCAGCGGAAAAGAGGAGGTTGAGCTTTTTTGCCCACATTTTGGTGCCCGTTTGCTGGGAACAGAACTCACTTCGTTACGGTTTTTCCGTTGGTGTTTCTCCATGCTCTGCGTGCTAAACTTTCATTCGTTCGCCACGCATTTCCTCCATCAAGATATCATGGATACCTAGGTACTGAATACGAGAAGATAGCAAGCCCTTGCACTATCGACCTTGGAGAAATCGGGGAATTATTAAGTTCAACATGTTCTTTTTCAAAGCTTTATACAAGAAGAAACAGTCATCATCGTTGTTATCCAGTAGGCTTGGATCACAACCGTAAGCCGGGTCTTCATGCACGTGATCTCGACAGGACAAATCAGAAATCTCCAGCCAGATATTGAAGATATAAAGATGGGAAGATAAAGTTATCTTGGAAAGTGACGACGAGGTCAATTGATTCGATATAGCTTCATTGTAACACCTGGTAATATCATGTGATGAAGAATACTTCATATAAAGCCGTGTTCCCTGCTCTATTTATATTCCTCCACAAACATAGGTGGGTAGAGAGAGAGAGAGAGAGAGAGAGAGAGGCATGAAGCGAAAGAGCGATATGGGGATTGCAAGCAAAACTTACTCGAGTTCCCTTCCTCTAAACACATTACCGGTAGTACCCAGACACGATTAATCAGCGCATTAAAGATCTCCCACCCCTTCGCACATCTCGCACATCTCGCACGTACCTAGCTAGGTACATGCCACATACACACCCGAATCTAGAACGTTCTTTCCGCATATCAGAGATCAGAGCCGCAGATCCTCAATCTGACGTCAAGTACTAGGTATGCATTTTCTATTCGGAATGATGATGCTAATTGGATGATCGGTATCTTGGATTATCTCGGTCCGATACACTTACTTTGAGGAAGAATAGCAATCACAATTATCATCTAGAATACTCGAGTAGAACAAGTTCAAAATTGGCTGGGGATAATTCCGCTAGGTAGAAACGGAAGGGAGGTGATGTGATTGCCCAGTCGATCTATAGGTGGAACGATTCGCTCCTCGAAACTATCGTACGGTGTTTCCTTTGGGAATACATCAAAAACAGTATGAGTATGAGTGAGGACTTCTATTCTTGTGATGTTTTGATTCTTTTATTGATGTGCTGTACCAGTATCGGTAGGTATCGTGTCGGTGATACTGTAGAGATACGATATGATTATGCTACATGATAATGATTCCAGTATTAATAGTATATATAGTGAGCTGTCGACGAACAGCGGATACAAATACAGCACCCGGTTCCATGCTGCTTGCTTCGAATAGCGAAGAAAAAGCAGCCGAATGTTTGGTTCTTCGATACGGGAGTATGATATCGTATCGTACCATAAGGTATCTTCCTTCACATATCTTCAAATGTCTTCGAATGTCTTCCAAATATGAGGTCTGAATTCGAAGCTCACCGTTGATACGAGTTCTTTCAAGATGCACTCGACTCTTTTAGCCATAGGTTGAGAGTATGTACGCTATATTAAAATCGGTTCGGTTCGTCTTTTTACATATCTCGAACAATATTCTTCAAATGGTTATTGAGTTCTTCTTATATACTGTGTTTCAATGCCGTTAATCTTTTTGATGAATTTACTGATGCATGCTATTGTGCGTTCACGATATGATGTGATATGATATAATGGTTGGTGCTCATGGTACAGTATGGATACGGTACTAGACTACCTAGGTACCTATCACTTTGTTGTATTCTTGAAGCTCATATATAGCTCAGTCCGCACAACTATTATCATCATACTCCGATGTTGTCTTCAACTTCTTTCGAGCATTTTTACAATAATACTGAGTCTCGGTATATAATTACTCAGTACATTTGAATTATCGTTTATGGAGCATTGCCGATGTCCTGTACTATACTCGAGTAATGGGATAACTGATGTCGGCAAGCGAAGTGAATGAATATTTAGTGGTCACAATTGAAATGTCACGTTCCCGGTATTCAGTCTTCATTAATCCAGAGTCCAGACCTTCAGCATAAATTGCATATTCAGTAGGGTCTTTAAGGTTTGAGCTACTGAGGCTGGCAACGATGACAAGTGACATTTGGTTACTATGGGCATGTACAGTTTCATCCAAGACAGAAATCTATTGTTGGGGTTTTGGAAACATGATTATTGCTGGCTTCAGTGAGGCTTGAAGTTAGTGTTTGCTATTTAATGGGAGTGATTTTCGTATACATAAGATGTACGATTGTTAGACATCTAGTGTATGTCTACAGTTCTCAGGCTCTTAGAGAGTTAGAATCAAGGAGACTCTATATACACATGTATAAAGGCTTGTCAGACTACTGTCCAACTACCATACGTGACTTCCAACAAATACAAAGCGTTCGCTATTTAGTGTCTGCACCTAGGAAGAAATTTGTGATTCATTTAGAACCCATTTCACCCCATCAACAACCATTTCCGGCTCAGTCAACTGAACAAAATGTCCACTCTCACGTGCAAATACAAGTTTTCCCTTAGTAGACAATTTCAGAAACTCCTTCATAAGCCCTGTACTCTTCTTATCCGCTGTCTCAATCAACTGTCTAACACATCTCCGCTGCTCCTCACTTCCATTCCCCCTCTCCACACCCGCCCTATACAACCCACTCCAATCCCTACTGCGCATCCCTCCAATCACATGAACCGGTTTCCCCTCCAGCAGCGGCTGTCTCATCCCCAACTCCTTCTTCCGCAACGTCTCAAAACTCGGTGCGTACTCACTCTCCTCCTTCTGTTCCTGCTGCTTGTGTTTCCCCGTCGCTTCATCACTCATAAATGCATCCCACTCCTCTGCCGTCAATTTATGCTCTGCTTCAATACCATACGCAACATATGCGTCGAGACCCACAGACATCGCGGCGAGATTCACATTATTTGGATTGAGCACCTCTAGCGCATTCTCGTGATTAGCATCGACGAATACAAGACCAGAAATATGCGGGCCGTTCCCAGTAAGCGCGATGAATTCGTGTATGAGCACGCCGGCCCAGGAATGCCCAACAATGATTAGAGGGTTCGAAAGGGGTGTGTGTTTGATCAGAAGAGAGAGCTCGAGAGCGATGGTCTCGGCGGTGGGCGCGAGAGGAGAGAGCTCAGAGCGTCCGTAGCCGGCGCGGTCGTAGGTGTAGCTGCGTAGTGAGGGGGAGAGTAGCCGTATTACGGCCGCCCAATTAAGGCTACTGCTGGCGATCCCGGAGATGAATAGGATGATAGGGGCTTGGGGGTTGGAGGGTTCAGGGCCGTGGGTGTAGAGAGCGAGGGAGTGCGTGCCGATACTGATGAGGGTGGGAGTTGTAGGGGGGGTGGAGAAGGTCATTGTGGGGTTATGGGTTATGAGGTTATGAGTTTCTGAGGTTTGTAGAGAGAGTTCCAATGGGATATTTGGTGATAGGTAAGAAATACTCAGTGTTAGTTACCGCCGGCTACCTAACTTCGTGATATATAAAACTTTATGCGATAGTATAGTACCGATGCGCTTTAAAACTTCAAGCAAGCATGTCATATTCACATCTTATTGATACATGCTCGAGTACATAGTAAGCTTTCCAATAAATCGAGTCATCGCCACGTCAGAACCCCTGCGCGTAAGCAACAACACATTGGAGATACCGCTACATATCATAATACATACCGGTAACCTTATACTCTAATAAGAGGATTCTGCGCTGATGTTTGGGTTCCTACGGCTGTGGAATAGGAAATCTTTGCGTAAGAATGCTTTGATAGCACATCACAGCACATACTATGTGTGTTCGAACAACTTATTGGCAAAAGAATATTCCCCCCAAGAACCACATCCCCATTTTCTTTTTCTCCCAAGGGTCTAGAAACATATGATATAAAAACAAAGCACAAAAACTTTATATAATTACCTATAAGTTGTGAAGAAACATTGGCTACAGCCGGAGGAACGTCCCAAATATGCCAGTGAGGGGGATTTGGACACGTGACATGGGCTTTGATTATGGAATATCGTTTTTGAAATTGAGGATTATATATATAACATTGTAATAATAATAATAATAATAATTGAAAAGCTATTTAGAAAAGATTTCATTTCATCTATTTGAGACTTGAGTATAGATAAACTCTTTCTATTCGCATTTCTATCAACCCTATCATTCTGCCATTTTCACAAGTAACCTTAATAGCCTTAAACCTTACTGTAAAGCGGTGAATCTTCTTTCCTTCCCCTGCTTACATATACCTTCTCTCCGACAAGTCTCCGTCCTCGGACAGTGGACACAACAACTCATGGAATCGAGAATCTAGAATCTAGAACATGAATCGCTTTTTCTTATGGGCTTCCGCCCGGTAGCTTGATCCGAGTGGTTCCCTATTAAAAGCTTATCCATACTATTTTTCCATTCCGATGTCCGAACGGAGATTACGATATCCATTTTATGGTTTCATCGCTTACGGAGTTGCTTTTATGGTTTACGTCAGCCTTCAGGAATCAGGACTCAAGACTCAGAGTCAAGACCCAGGGCCAGGAGAGAGAGAATCTGGCCCACTGCGATATTCCTGATTGTTGATCTCTTTCCACAGAGAAGCAGTTTCTTTTTGCTTCTGAGGAATCGAGGCTTTGAGGATTCATCTCTATCTCAAACGATGGTGGGAGAAGATATTATATTAAATTTATACATTCACCGTTATGATTGATGGGTGAGAGGGAACATTAATTCCTCAACATGGGAACTTTATTGGATTGTTTCTCACAATACCTGCCTTATCAGACCGAGCAGGTCACACAATAATATTAACAATACCGTACTGTAGTATTGATTCGTGGCAGTCAGGGACTCGAAGAGCTGAAGTTCTACAAAAAGAAGGTTGTTCAGGCTTTTCAGCCCTTGAATGAATCCCCTGTGCAGTGTGCAGGCCCTGAATGCATGGGGGTGCGTCGGGTTCCTGGGCTACTGCAGGGGCAAGGAAAGCCTTGTGGATATTAGCATCTCACATGTGTTTATTGCTGATCCTTGACGTAAGGCGGTGGGAATTTTGCGGGATTTTCTGGTTTGATATGTTCCTTGGAAAGATAAGATGATTGAGAACTTTTGGATACAAATACACAACATAGGCAAGCAAGTTGCAGCAGTCGATCTCGAGAACCAATCCTTTCGAAGCCATCCATAATAATCGAAACAATCCGAACAATCAAGAAGAAGACCTTTCTATGTGGCTTGCTTGTCCTTGCCAGACATGCTACAGTATATGTCACCACCCTGGAAAATATCAGGCGAATATCCATGTTCCGCTGTTGTACTGCAGCACTTCCCCGACCCGCGAAAGTTAGGAAGTTAGGAAGTTAGGAGACAGCCTTCAGACCGGGGCTTCAAAACTGCAAAGTTGCAAGGGTTTTAAAAGGTCGAGAACAATTGAGATGGAAATTCGTGTGACAGTGGTATCCAATCTTTACCCACAACAACAACTCCGAGGTTTTTGAAGAATTGTCGAATACAGTACATTCCGTGATTTATCCATTGCCACTGTGTCGTCAGACTCGTCACGGCATTTCCTTGGGTCAATCCTCGACAATATCAAAATTCACTATTTGTGAGGTGAAGAGACAAAAATCAATATGCCGATACTCATAGAGTCTGCCCACATCAGCCGTTCAATATCATAACTGGTCACTGCAGGAAAACACTTTTGAGGAATGAATATGAAAACACAAACACAAATAATTTATTGACGAGTGAACTTGACTCAAGTAAGTTCAAAGAATCAGTGTCTGGAATGCATCATGGCTTTCATTTTCGTTGGGTGAGAAAGTGATTCTGACATCTCGATACAGCAGTTTTGAATGATCGAGGAACATACCGTCAAGTTCTATCTCATTGGTTACTCGGATTACAAACGTATTCTCCACATACTCATCAGTCAAAACATGCCCTACGCATCGGCAAATGCATGACAGGCCGCTCATATTCAGGAACCAAAGTCAGCGATCCAATCAAAGCCAATCAAAGCGTAGGCGCATCCATCTGTTGACTCCATTTATTTCCACCAAAGGAAAATTTTTGATATTGCCAAGGCTAGTTCACCCGAATATCCCAGGAGTTTTCTCATAGGGTTGGGGCCCTTATTTCCGAATGTCTTTGTATCTGCCATGTTCCCCTTTTTGCGGAGCATGGGAATGATCGTACTTGATTGAGCTTAGGTGGTGACCTAGAACATGCAGCCTGAGAAAAAGCAAACGTTCTGGATGCAGTTGTCTATTCGTTTCCGATTTGAATTACGAGTTATGGTTGTCATGACTCCACAATTTGCCGTGGTTTGGGCAAGCCTTTTTTACTTGGAAGAATCATCGCACCTTAATCGTGTCCCCCGATTTGACTCAGCTACCGACATATGTCTATATAATTTGCTGTACCCCCATTGTATTCCTTTCTTTTTTCTCTTTACCCACAACAGTTCACTCATTCCTTCAAGTTACTCAACATTTCGATCTAAGATCACACTTGACTTTACAGCCACTTCACAGCCTTTACAGTTATCAATAAGTCTTGACGACTTTGACAATATTTCTTAAATATTCGACCAAAATTCTCCTTGCCAAAAGAAGCAACCAGTCTCGATCGACCAACTTGAAGTAAAGCCTAGTCTTAACTTCATCCCAGCCAATCCTTTACCAAATTTCAATTTTATTTTTACACAAACACATCACTCAAGATGCAATTCTTAACTTCCATGCTCGCTGCTTCCGCAGCACTTGCAACCATCGCCTCAGCAGCCAGTGTTCACTTCGTCAACCAAGATAACACCACCCGCACCTTGATGTTCACCCCCTCCTTGGTCTTCTCCACAGGCAACGAGACCATCAGCAACCTCACCATCAAAGGACTCGCCGCCGTCAACCAAACCTTCCCCACAGGCTATATCGGCAACTGGTATTCCCGTTCCGACGGCGCCAACAATACGTCCGGCATGCTCGGAGAAGTCTGCTTTGATTCCTGGAGGGGCATGACCTATTTTGACGTCAGCGCCATCGTCAACCCAGATGACAACAATGGTGTCAAGGAGATGTTCCCTCTCGGAACCAATACCCCCCTCTCCGGTTGCCAAAGCTTCCCTTGCGATAATGCATACAACGCCCCAGATGATATCCAAACCCAAGCCACCGATTCCAACCAGCTCGTCTGTCTCATTGGTAATCTCGCCAGCTCCAAGCGATCCATCGGTGGGAAATTCCACAAGGATGCCGTGGCAGGTAAAAGATCTAGTTCTAACTAAATCTTTTACTCATCGCTTTTTTTGTGAATGGGACATTAGGGTGGATGTTGGGGAGTGTAGGAGAGAGAAGCTTGATATGTTGAGCATGAAGATGTACATATCGCACAAATCCAGCTAGCTCGGGTTATGCACACACAACACATACATACACACACGAAAAGAAAACAACCAATGTACGTCAGCGCCGCCAAGCGTGCTGCGATGTGGCATATGAATTTTATGATGGGGATATAGAAAAGGATGGGATGACCGATAGGATAGGGCAGGACAGGCAGCACAGGACTGGATATGGACAGGAATGGATAGGTGTGGTGTACTGGCATGGGGGTTCCTCAAAAAATTTGGGAACTCTTTGAATTTTGGAAAAAAATTTGTTACTTGGGATTTATATCGGATAGACTACTTTTTTCTTTTTCTTATTCTTCTGTTTCCCCCTTTTTGAACTTTTTTTGAAAGGAGGTTTAAAAGTATATAGATTTTGGATGGAGGGAGGTTTGGATGGATTGATGAAGGTGGAATTTTGAGGAAGGAAATGATATAGAAATGAAAAGGTTGGATTCTTAAATACATACATACATATTACTTGCTATTCATTGTTCTTTGGTCTGTTTGTATGATTATTGGTTTGTAGTGATTGTTGTGATTGTGGTGATTGTTGTAATGTGGTGTGATTTGATGTGATTTGATTAATATGAATAATGTCTAACATTGTATTCGAGTATTCGAGTAATATCAAATCTCTATTCAAATCTATTCACGTATACTCGAGTATAATATCTCCAAATACACATACATACACAAGGTATTCGGGGTTCGATGTTCGATATTCAAATGATGAAATGAAGTCTAACCCAACCAAAGCAAACCCAAACCCAAACCAAAAAATAGCTATTCCAAAGCAAAGGTAGTCACTCACTTTACTTGTATTAAGAGGAATAGAATTTCAAATTTGAGATGGAAAAAGGAAAAAGGAAAAGGAAATGTTAACTCTATTCCCATTTCTGTTGGGTATTGATTAGTATTATTTAGTATTGTTTTTCACTGTAATTATATTCTATATACTTTAGGAGTTTAGATTCTTTTAAGTCTTTGGATATATATATATATATATACTCGAGAATCTAAGTCAAAGTATACTCGAGTATATAAATATAACGAACTATAGGTCTTTAGATTTGATTCGATATATATTATAGATTTGATATACGTATTCGATATAATTATATATAGTAGATAGGAATTAGAATATAATAAGAATAGAATGAGAGTCTAAAAACTATTAGAGAGAGTATAAAGTACTCGAGTAATAATGATTCATATATTCGTACTAAATAGTACTCGATTTGGTAGGGGTTTTTAAATTTGTACTTATATTTATACGAGTACTTATAAAATAGAAGTAGAAGAATAAATAAAAGTAGAAGTAGACGTAAAAGTTGAAATGTAAGTTTTGCTTTTTGATATTTGATATAATGTTGATATAATATTGATATTGATAGAGCATGTAAATAGAGCATATAAATAGAGGATATATATGTGTATATAGTGGAACAAGGTATAGTACCGGTATATAGGAATACGATTCAGAGATCGACTCGGAAGAAAATGAAGAAAATAGATGAGCATTTGCTTATCACTATACTCGAGTACATTGTATTATACACTATAGAATCGTCATCTAACACGCACTATAAGTAAACAAATTCAGTAAGCAATTTCAGTAAGCCAAGTAGTATACCCACCCGTATAATGATTCTACAAACCAAGTCAAGTCTCATATAATATACTCTGTTTGGTGTGCCTGAAACCATTCAATATACTTTTATGCTTTCAAGCTTTTAAGTTTGGAGATGTTGTAATATAATAAATATATGCTGAAATACTCATGAGGAGATACTAGCTAGTTACTAGCTATTTACTAGTATAGTAGCTGACAGGTCACACAGGTCACACATTGCAAGAGAGACAAATTCAGATCCAGAAAAATAAATACATACTGTGTAGATAGAATTGGTATCAACAGGCTGGCGAATGCTGGGTTTTTGCTCTAGATGATGTTGGATATGGATTGATTGATGGAAGTGTTAGAAAGTACGGTGCACAGTAAGGATATAAAAATACAATCTTTTCAAAACGGCCATGATATCATATCATATCACAATAATCACATCAGCCTGCTTTTCTCGTATAAGTAATCTTTTCAATTTTCAAAAAATTGTCGGAGATGAAATATTATGTAAGGGAGGGAAGAAAGGGAAGGCAGTAAAATAAAAGGATATAATCAAAAGACTTGTAATCTTACTATAAACCTTGTACTACAACCTCCAGATTACTAGATTAGGAAATGTGATGATTATGTTATTGGAATGATAGTACGTCGGTTTATATGGTGTCTGTTGGTGTTTTTTGAAATGCCTTTTGAAATGACGGTCATGTCTATTTTATTACCCTAGAGTATAGTTGAAGAAGAAGAAGTAAACAAAACATGTTTGAGTACAGAAAAACACAAGTACGGTCAAACCCAAAAGATTCCAAGACCAAGCCGGATTAGAAATCATAGATTTCCAGTCCAATCCAATCCAATCCAATCCAATCCAATCCAATCCATATCACATGATATCATTCTATCATGATCCATTTCCTTACACCAAAATCCCCATCCCAATCCCAATCCCAATCCCCCACTACAAACCCGCAGCTTTCTTAATAAAAGCCGCTGCGGCCGGGGTATCCATTCCATAAGTCAAATGAGGCATCAGAATAAAAGTGCCATGTTGACAAATATCATCTCCTATGTGACAGATGATATCTGTTTTATCGGCAGAGACGCCTTGGACTGCTGATCCGTTGTCTATGAAATTTGTGGTTAGAGGTAGTACTATGTTTTAGAAATAGGAGATGGAGATGGAAAGAGTGATGGGAAATATTGATGGGTACGAACCTGGATCACCGAAAATAACTGCAGCGCTAATCTTGGCCGCGGTGGCTGTTGGGAGAAGTTTGGCTGCGTTGTGCACGAGTTGGCCTCCTTGCGAGTAGCCGGCTATGACGATTTTGGTATCTGGACAGCTGGAGAGGGCTGAGGTGACCATGTTTGCCCTGGGTGATGATGTGAGTAGAGGAACTTTGTGAGAGAAAATGTACATTTGCAGTTTAATGTAGGAAAGAGGAAAAGTGGAAATCATACATGGTTTGACTTCCAGCCGAATCACCACCTTGTACGAAGCCGGCCACATTGGCTGGATAGGTAACACCTGTCATGGTGACAGCACTCGATCCAAGAGCATATTGGAGAGCAGAGAGGAGAGGAGGTCCAACGACGGTGCCGAGGGTTCCGGTCTCGGTTGTTCCGCGGGCGAAGATGACGGTTAGGGATGTGCATGCTCGGGCTTCGAGAGAGCCTGTTGGAGCGGCGAGGATGGAGAGGGGGAGGAGGAGAAGGGATAAGAGTTGGGGGATTGAGGCCTTCATTTTGGAATTTGTGTTTTGAGGTGTTGGGTAATGAATGATGGATAGGTGAATGAAGGTTTGGATGAATTAATGAATGGATAAGTGAAAGAGAGTGTTGATAATGATGATTGATGAGAAGAGTTGTGATCGATGGAAAATATCTCGACTTTATATCTTCCATCCCAACAACAAGAAACTTTTCATATTACTGTGGGGAACTCCGTCAGATCATTGCATATGCTTGTTTTATCAGGACATCTTGGGATGAAGTTTCAAGCCGATGATATTGTACGGATGCTTGTTAACCAGTTAACATGAAACTTGCAAAATACCGAGGTATTCCCAACGGTTCTTGGTCATATTTGGCTCTGGACACAATTGCATGCCGGATAATTGTAAACTCCATGGAGGAGCCCCCCCCCCCTTTCCTCAAGCAGAACGATTCGGCAATGATTATCCTCTAATCCGGTGCACAAATATCTCAACGAGTCAACAGACGAGATCACTAGACCTCGATGCCAGCCAGTAAATAGATACCGGTACTAGAACTTAATCGGGTAGACTAGACACTTCTCAATCGGAAGAACTAAATTAGTATTCAAGCTACAGTGAGCCGGCACATCAATCACAACGGAGAATCAACCGTCTAGGGAACTCATCCCGATTTCAAAATCCCAATTCAGTGGAAAGATACGATATATGCGGGATTCTAGGGACCAAGCGCAGAGCCAGCCACTTGGCATACCCCCCCCCCGTAGAAGCAGTTTTTTCTTACTACTCGAGATGCGATTGGTTCAAGGAAACTTATGTAATTGGAGATGTTGGTTAAGATGAATCCGATTTTTTTGAAACGTGAGGAGCATGGAAAACATGGGATGATGGTGGCTGTGCGGTGAAAAAAAGGAAAATTTATTTGTGATGTGATACAATGCCATCTGAACATTTTGGCTTTGACTGAAAAACAACAATACCATGTTCGAGTCTGATGGGAATTTGGGGCCAAAGTCTAGGGATAGCTAGGGAACAAACAAGCTATATCCAAGATCCAAATCTAAATCCAAAACCACCGTACTTTTTCTATCTAGGGACCCCTTCTCGTATCCTTTCATATCCTAATCAAATTCATTAAATATATATCAAATCAATTCCTATAGAAATAAAAAGAAAGCTCACCGGGAAAAGGCGATGAGTTTTCGGAAAAAGCTCAAGCTCATACAATGCTCACCGGGAATTTTACTTCACATGCACATACGATGTGATGCTCACCGGGAGTACTGTACTGGTACTTGGATGATTTTCATTCACCCTTGGGTTGGAACTTTGATACTAATATTCATCCAACTCAAAACAACTCCCCATCCCAATCCCCATCCCCCACGAACACCGGTAAGGTTATTCGGTTTCAATAATTTCTCTGTTATATGCAATGCAGCATTCTATACATACCACCAACCAAACCATCATGAATCTATCATCCATCCCCCCCTTTCAACTCACAGTATTTAGGACCCCAAATCGCATTCTATCCATATCCATCGTTCCGGCTAAATAGTAGCCTCCCTCCCTATATATAGCCTCTTTGACCTGCATCACTCCCATTCCCATCGCATCCCCCTCCTCTCTCCGCCCGTATCCTCTCATCACACAAACCACACACACCAAGCAAACCCACCAGATTACAAAATCACAAGCAATCAAAATCAAACCCCACCCCTAAAAGAAAGTACCGGTATCAAATAGTCTCCTCAATTTAGCTGTATCTATCACACCTATACTCGAGTAATATACCCTTTCCTAACTTTATACAAACATACATACATACATATATACATACATACAAACACATAATATACAGGAACAAACTCACCCCTTCTGTTATTGGTAGATATATATAGATAAATTGAGATTTGCTTTTGAGAACGCATGGTATACAGTAGCACAAGCACAGTACGATCATAAAAAAAAGATATGATATCTGTACTGTAGAATTGAATTGAATTGAGATAAGAAAGAGATGAAGTACGCAGGCAAACGCACGTGCCTATGTGCCAACCAACAAATAGTCGCCGAGGAATCCCCTTCCTTTCCCTTCCATGGTTATGTTATGTGATGTGATTCGCATGCCATACCATTGCGATACGATACAATAGAATACTATAAACAAAATCATTTATTTACCTACAAGCTTCCCTATTTCCGCACCAAACCAGGCATTCATTCCCTCTACTTGCTATTGTCTTATCCTCTACGCCATTCATCTCGCTTTCATCTCGCTTCTTTCCATTGCGAAGCTTGAAGTTATCTTTCCCTCTTTTCCTCTTTCCTTTCTTCTTCCTCACCTCACATCTTCATATACGACCCCCCATTAGCACTACCCCCAAATCTCGGCTGCGCAAGTTTCATATCAAACTCTGCACTCTGCGGACTCATCGGTCCATCACCATCACCATCACGCATGACCATCGTCGGACTTCTCGGATTATGCTGACCCGCCTGCACCATGGGGCTTCCCACCCCACCTGCTGCCATGGCACTCGCACTCCCATTTGGTCCCACGTACCCGCTGCCATGGTTATCTTCCCATCCCCCGAGCGCATCTCCGCCTTGATTGGCATAGGCATTTTTATCCCATCCGCCAATTCCCTTGTTGTGAAGTTCCATTTGGTCTTGGTAGGCTTCTTGTTGTTGCTTTTCAATCAGGTGGTTGTAGGCTTCGCGTTCGAGGCGGCCGTTGCGGCGTTGACGGAAGAAGGTGAAGAGGAAGACAGAGACGAGCGCAGCGACTGCAGCACCGCCTCCGCAGTAAACGGCGAGTTTGGTGGTTTTGGAAAGGTTGTCCCATTTTTCGCCGAGGGAGAGTGTGGGGGTGGCATTTTTGGTGATGGTTTTCGCGACGGTGGAATTACCGCTGTGGGAATTCGATTAGCGTGTATTTTTAAGCATTGTGGAGTAGATGAACCTACGTGATTACTTTGATGGATTGCCAATCTCCTGTCCTATCACCCCATTCATATGCCGAGCCGGTGCTGTAGTCCTGAATAGTGGCACTTTTCACATACATGGTAAATGGAACTTTGGTGAAGTCGGTTTCTCCACCAGCCCATTCGATGGTTCCTATACTATTTCCCTTAGGGTCACCACCGGACCAGATTCCTAATCGAACCGACATGGGAGTTTGTGGGAAGTTCTTGCCATCCACCGCATCGGCATATGCGAGTGTTCGAACGAGACTATCATCAATCCACCATTCAATCCTCTCGGCGGTCCAGTCGACAGTGTAGTTGTAAAAGTTTGCGGTTGGGTCCGCAGGAGTTGGGTACCAAATGGCTCGATCGTAGGACGTAGTATTTCCTTTTCCAAAATAATTGGTCTCGGCATGAGTATCGTTACCTCCAATAAATTCCCAATCCACTTCATCCAAATCGTCACTTTCCAACACAATACTCGACACAACTCCTACTCCAGTTGCAGCCTTCATAATCACGGATACTGAGCCGAAGAAGATGAAGAACTTGGACTGGATAGTAGGTGATTCTCCTTGTTTTGAGATGGTAAATTCTGCTCCATCGTCGCCATATGTAAGAGATCCAGCGGTAATATTGTAGTAATCGGTAACTGTAGATGATGTATTGAAAATGAAGGTATGATTCGTACCCAAAGCTGGATCATTGGGACATGTTCCGTTGAGAGGATTGCAGATGGTGTAAGTTTGAGCTTCAACGAGATATGGTGAGAGGATAGTTGCTCCCGCTAGGAGAAGCAGGGATTTGAATTGCATTGTTCCTTTCTTTTTATATATCGAATTATATGATTGCTTTTTTCTTCAAATGAAAGTCTGTTGTACTTTGTACTTTGTAGGGAAGGGTGTCAATTAATCAAATCAATCTGATATTGCGATTCAACTTTGACAACGCGATTTTTAAAGGAGTGACTATTATCCACCTTCCAAAGGCGAATGCGATTATTGAAGGAAAGTAAGGTGCAGAAACCGCACAAAACAAAATCAAAATGAAGGTGTTGGTACTCAAGAATTCAAAGCAAGACTGAGAATGAGTTGATGAGTTGAGTTGAGAAAGGAAGAGGAGTGACATTAGAGAAAGTGGAGTTTCATCAAACGGGAAATGGATGAAAATAGACGCCAATCAATTGAATTCAAGGGAACGTGCATATGGGTATTTGGGTACTTCCATTGCTTCCGTTTTCATTGTTGTACATTGAAATTTGGTGAAATTGGTGGTAAGAGTGAACTTGGTAAAAGGTAAAAGGTGGATTGGAAGATCCAAAGTAGAAAATCTAATTGGAATTTCCTATTTGGGTAGATTAGGTTTCAGAATTAAGGGGAAATCAATTTTCGAGGGGTTTTCAAGAAGAATTGGCAACGGACATAAATACCGAATCAGGTAAAATCTACTTGATAAGCAAGGAATTGATTCAGGGGGGGATGAAGATATATATACTAGGGTTATCAACGGGAAATCATTTGCCGTTCAATCTAAGGAGGTTCATCGTGAGATCCATTCTCAAGGTCAGAAAGGTCAAAAAGGTTGTCAAGAAACCACAAATAGATCTTTATACCTTGTTTTTTTGCAGCTTCCGAAAGAGACTTCATAATTAGGAGAGGTTGATGATTCTGGAAGAAGAACGTTGATAGAATGAATATTGATGATATCGATGGATGGATATTCCTTCTATACAGATTTGGGGTTGATAGAAGTCTGCACTGTATCTTTAAACTCCACTTTGGAGATTATACATCCCTCATTAATATACTATGCTTTTACCTCTCGTATTATACCCAGTGTTATTACTGGATAGATATTGATGAATAGGTAGTGATACTGTGTGACAGAGTCAAGACCATTCTCTCTCTATTCGCCATGCTCTCTGCTCTCGATATAAAGTGCAATTGATCAAGAGACAAACTTGAGGATGGACTTGATATCAAATCGTAGAGTTTCGTTTCTTTACCGACATCCATCTTGCTCACAATATATGGTATGTTTGATCAGTAGAATCCTTATGGATTGATATTGAATCAATTGACACCCCTTACCATATCTCTTCTCAACTTCCCTCACACACCTACCAGGTACTGTACTTTCAATCCCAACGGCCCTATGCAAACTCTCTTTCTACCTGTACCTGCATTTGTAACCACACCATCTACATCTACTCGAGTACCTTCACCCTAAACATATATATAAATCAATTGCACAACATTAATTTAAACAACACTTGAATAGTGTAATCCAAGGTAACCGGATAGCGTCGTCCGACAGGCTCTGCAGTGTATGTAACAGTAACAACCCTATACTCAGTATTATATTCTCACATATGAAAACCAATTAATTAGTTCTTGATCCTGTAACCGAGATTCAACGCCGAATGTTGGGACGTTGATTGGGTACCAGTATTTGATAATAGGTAAAGTCCAGGAGGGGGTGATATTGTATCAAGAATTAAGATAGAAGTTTGTTGAGGTGAGGTTAGCTATTTTGGGGGAAGAAATTGGAATGGAAATGGTAACCTTAGGTAGGTAGGTAGGTAATCATCATCTAAATGAGCACTTTGATTAAAACATCACATTTAGCCTATTCTATCATATCTACGGAATTACACTGAATCTTTAAGAAATACATTCATTTCACGCATTTATCACGTGAATCCATCTTTAACTTCACCCTGCCTGCCCTGCTGCCCCTCGTCCCCCTTCATCTACACCC